ACTCTCTCACCCCACCACACCACCCCTTTCAACTCCACCCGCCATCCTCTGCACGCTCCACTTTATGTTACTTTATTTTGTGTGATGCTCGTTTCTTCTTTGCATTTCATTACTCCGTAATTCTGCAAGACATTCCATGAACCGAGAGAGAGAAGACGGGGTCAACTGGCCCCATAAAAGAAAAAAAAACAAAACAAAAAAAAAAGCAAAAAAGGAGAGTGCAAAGCAAATAAAGAAGGAAGAGAGAGACTAAAAAAAAAAACGTACAAATAAAAAAAAAAAAGGGACGCAGTTGTTATTCCCACCGCATTTCAAATGCTTTTTTTTTCCCTATTCATTCACATCTTTCATCTCATCTCGTCATCCGTTTTATTTTAATTTATATATTCGACTATCACTGGGTCTGTGCGGGCATCGCCTGCTGCGGTGCGGGAATGCCTTGCTGCTGGGGTTGTTGCTCCTGCTTTTTTGGCTGCTTCAACTCCGCCGCATTGGGGGCACTGTTGCCATTATTCATGCTGTGATTGTTGGTTAAGTTGTTGTTGCTGTTATTGTTGGCAGGCCCCCTCATACGATACGGATTTCCGTCACCTCCACGCTGGTTGCCACCATGTGGGACCGCAGTGAGCTCTTCCGAGTTATGTGCAAAGGCGCAGTTATCACCCCAATTGCAAACACCACCGCGTTGAATGTTCATGCACATCTTTGTCTTCAGCTTTGTACGGTCAATGCCACGTCTCACGCGTCCCCGATAGACTTGTCCTTGATTCATTCGCTGCAGCACCTCCGCAGGGATCTGCCAGTGCGTCGTACGTGTATTGTGGTCAATGTAGTATGGGTCTCCCTCGGCAGAGTATGCCATCTGCCAACCAACGGGAAGCTGCACAGTGCCGTAGGGAGCAGCCATACCACGGCCATAACGATTCGGGTAGGACATTTGTATTAATCAATTTGTGTTTCCCTTCTTTCTTTCGTTTTTGTTTTGTTTTTGTTTTTTTATTTATTTATTTAGGCCTTTTTTTTTTTTTTTAAGGCTTATTTAGGGTTTGGTTTTTGGTTTTTGTTTTCGCCTCTGGGATGCGATTCCACTATCAAACTCCGCCGCTTTTTATATACTACGGCACCAAAGGCAAATAGAATGCGGGAAGCACAAAAAGAAGAACAAGAAGGAAAAACAGAAAAAACAAGTAAACGTAAACAAACAGGAAAAAAAAAGAAAAAGTTTTTTTTTTTTTTTTTTTTTTTTTTTTTTGGGGGGGGGGGGGCATTATTTTCCCCTCAAAGTCTTCATGCGCAGGCGGATCTCCTTCCACGCCTCCCCCTCCCCTCGCCATTTCATTTTGGCGCCGTTTTTGTTGGTGTACGAACGTGCAGGCGTCAAGTCTCGTTGCCACGAATACTCCCTCTGAAAACAAAAAAAAAAAACAGCAGTCGCACCCCCCATGAAAGCCAACGCCGCCGCATTATCCGTCACATTATATCGCAGATCAACAGTTACAAAGCCACACACACACACACACACACGCAGAAAAAAAAATATATTTAATTCAGAAAAAAGTGCAGAGAATGACGGAGTGTGGCCCAGAGAAAAAAAGAAAAAAAAAAAACGTTGCAGTTAGCACCCAATAAGCCGTTCACTTCTTTATGGTGCGGTACAATTTTTTCCGTGGTGGCTTCTTGGAGCTGTCGTCGGGAAACTTTTCTTTTCTCCCCTCGTCCGGTTCCTCACGATGGCGGCGCAGTGCCTGACGCATTGTGGGATCAAGCCCACTACCGCCGCGCGTGTTCTTCTCAGGAACGTCGGAGAGCCACGCCTCGGCCTTCAAAAAGACGACATTCTTCATGACTTCAGCCAACTTTGCACTTCCGCTTTGAAACATTGTTTCAAGCACAATGCGACCAGCCCACGGCGAGACGGCCAGTTCGAAGACAAATGGCTTTAGTTCGTCCATCAGCTGCTTGCGCTGATGTTCCAACTGACGGCTACGACACTCACGAAGAATTGCCTGAATGACATAGCACGCGTGGTTATGAAGAGCATACGAGACTATAGCCCTAGAGGTGACCTTGTAATGCTTTTTGCGATTTATTTCGCGCTGTTCGCGACGGGAAGGTTTCGCCTTCAATGCGGGTTGATCTGCCTTCTTTTCACCATCACCATTACCATCATTATCATCGTCAGTCTCCGCCCCCTCGTGCTGCTCCTCCTCCTTCTCCTCCTCATCGATTGTCCCGCTTTTTTTCCGTTCCTGCTCTGCCTCGCGAAGCAGAGCATTGACTACAGTTAACACCGCCTCATCCGATGCGTACGCAACAAGCTTTTGCATTACACGAGACCCCTGTGCAAAAGAAAGCATCTCATGAATTTCAGAAAAAACGTCAAGAAGTGCGTTCACAAGCTCCTCGCGGACCCCGCCAGCAGCTCCATACTGCAGCATGGCC